CGACGTCCAAGTACAGTGTGTCATTTTTGTTCGGATCCATTCTGGATCCACATGTAAGCGAGAGTAGGGACAAAAGGAAAATTCTAGTACATCCATCAAAGAAATTAGACAGGAGAGGCAGTCAGGAATTCCAGAGACAAATTTTCCACCCAGGCAACTCCTGGGACTGGGCACAGCCCTTTCGACCAGGGCAATCCTGGGATTGGTCTAGAGGCTCACGATCCTTCTATTCAAGACAGGATCGTTCCCAGGATCACCCAAACAGGGGAGCCAGAGGCCAGTTTCAGTCCAGGCATCCCTTTAGAGGATCGGGAGGCCGACCCTTTAAGCGCGCCAAGTGATGCCAGGCAGGACACTCCCATAGGAGGCCGGTTAGCCAATTTCATCGAGGTCTGGGAGCAGACCACTACCGACGCCTGGGTCTTGGAGACAATCAGGCATGGCCTGACCTTAAACTTTTGTTCTCCCCCACCAAACCGATTCATCAGATGTCCCATCTCCAAAAAGGCACACAAGGCAAGGCTGATAACCTTGGCCATAGCACACCTCCTGTCAATTCAGGCCATAGAAAGGGTACCAAAGGAAGAGGAAGGAAGAGGATTTTATTCCATCCTCTTTGTGATACCAAAACCATCAGGAGGGTGGAGAGCAATATTGGACCTAAAGGGCCTGAATTATTACGTAAATTATAGGAGGTTCAAGATGCAGTCCCTGAAATCCATCCTAACCAGTGTCAGGAAGGGCGACCTCCTGTCCTCAATAGATCTCACGGAGGCGTACCTGCATATTCCCATCCACCACAAATACCGAAAATTCCTCAGATTTACCTACGCACACCGGCATTACCAATACAGGGCACTACTCTTCGGTCTATCCTCAGCCCCAAGGGTATTTACCAAAATTCTAGCAGTATTAGCGGCCCACCTCAGGCTGAAGCCGGTGCGTGTACAGTTTTATCTGGACGACATATTGATTCAATCCAGCTCACAGGAGCAAGCAAAATTAGACCTCCAGACCACAATCCGCGTTCTACAAGAACACGGATTCTCAGTCAATGTAGAGAAGAGCCATCTCACTCCCTCAAGGAAGCTACAGCATCTGGGAGCAGTGATAGACTCGTCCCAGTGCAGGGTATATCTTTCCCAGGAACGTCGAAGCAGCATCTCCAAGCTGGCTCATCAAATTCAGAAAGACAAGAGAGTACCTTTGATACAACTCTCGAAGCTCCTGGGAAAGATGATATCTTGCATGGGCATTGTCCCATGGGCAAGACTCCACTCAAGGGAGTTGCAGTGGTTCCTCCTCCCATATCAGAGGAGGAGCCTCAGTACCTCCAGCAGGAGGGTCTTGTTACCAAAAAATGTATTGAAATCATTGAATTGGTGGATATCCCCCATGATGCTCAAGGGGAGTATATTCAGGGAGCCGAACCGGATCACGCTCACGACAGACGCAAGCCTATTCGGATGGGGAGCACATCTGGGAACTCAGATAGCGCAGGGCCAGTGGAATCAGGAGGACCTCACTCACAACATCAATTGGCTGGAGCTTCGGGCCATTCACCTGGCTCTACGTCAATTCTCCCACATAGTAACGAGAAGACACGTTCTCGTTCTAACAGACAACGTAGCAGCCAAGGCCCATGTCAACAAAGAGGGAGGAACATGATCCTCGGAACTAATGCAGGAGGCATCAGCTCTGGCCCGGTGGGCAGAGGCAAATGTGAGTTCCATCAGAGCAGAACACATCTCAGGGGAGACAAATACCCAGGCAGACTCCCTGAGCAGAGCCAAGGTGGATCAGTCAGAATGGCGTCTGGATCCGGCTCTGTTCGAGGAGATCTCCCGGAGGTTCGGACAATCACATCTGGACCTATTTGCCACCCCCAAGAACACTCAACTCCCCAGGTTCTTCTCCAGATTCCCGACTCCGGGATCGGAGGGAACGGACGCTCTCAGGTGTCGGTGGCCGGCGCAACTTCTGTACGCCTTTCCACCGCTGCCATTAATACCGGCAACCATACGCAAGTTGATCCTGGAAGGTGCAGAAGTAATCTTGATTGCTCCACATTGGCCACGGCGCCCGTGGTTTGCCGACCTCGTGGATCTTTCAATATCACCCCCATGGAGGATTCCCCCAGACCGAGTAATACTCAGTCAGGGCAAGCTTTTACATCCAGATCCTCAGTGGCTACAACTAGCCGCTTGGCATTTGAGCAGCAAAGTTTAACCAAGCAATCCTATTCCTCAGGGGTGATATCGATCATACAAGCATCAAGACGACCTTCGACAAACAGGATCTACGATGCTACATGGAAAAGTTTTTGCAGGTGGTGCGTCCTGCTTCACCTAGATCCAACCTCAGTATCTATTCCCAATATTCTAGATTACCTATTGGAAGGACTTAATAAGGCCTGTCAGTCAACACTATTCGTAGACAGGTATCGGCCCTCTCAACTGTACTTTCCTGGGACAACCTAACCTCTCTGGCGCAACATCCAGCGATTAGCGCCTTTTTGAAGGGTGCGGCCAACACTAAACCTCCTGTTATACACAGGTACCCGTCATGGAATTTGCCTAAAGTTCTTCAAGCTTTGACATCAGCACCATTTGAGCCTCTTGACTCATGTTCTCTATATCACCTATCATTAAAGGTAGCCTTTCTAGTGGCTATTACTTCAGCGAGAAGAATCTCGGAACTAGCCGCGCTGTCAGTGAGGAAGGATCTCTGCACCTTCTTCAAAGACAAGGTCGTTCTTAGACCAGACCCTGCATTCATTCCAAAGGTAAACAGCATCTTCCACAGATCTCAGGAACTGATTCTTCCTGATTTCTGCCCAAAACCCAGACATAGACTAGAACAGAGATGGCACAAGCTGGATGTACGTAGAGCGTTGTGTTTCTACGTAAAGCGCACTTCGTCCTTCCGTAAGACGGAAGCATTATTCATTTCCTTCCAACCATCAACTATGGGGAAGAAGGTGTCATCTTCTACCATAGGTAGGTGGATCAGAGCCTGTATATCCCAAGCCTACGTCTCACAGGCTCTACCAGTGCCTCCGCACGTGACTGCCCATTCAACACGCAGCGCAGCCACATCGGCTACGTGGTCCACACAAGCATCGGTGGAAGAGATTTGCAAGGCCGCAACTTGGTCTTCTCCCTCCATATTCATTAGGCATTACCGTTTAGACTCCTTTGCAGCAGCGGATGCTGCCTTTGGTAGAAGAGTACTACAGCAAGTTGTATCTGCTCAGGATTCGGTGGCCTAGACACTCCCTCCCAGGGGGACATGAGGGCTTTGGTATGTCCCAACCATTGGACTCTACAGCCATCCTGCTGGAGAAGGGGCGTTGTCTTACCTGAACGCCTTTTCTCAGCAGGATGATGTAGAGTCCAAGCCCACCCAGGTATTAGATCTAGGCAGGTATTGGACAAGGAGCTACCGTATTGAATCCAACAAACAATTCTCGCCTAAGTCAAAACTGGGGTCACGCCCAAGGAAAGGGTGTGGCCAAAGTTTTTACCCAGTCTGCCGGGCAGGAAGGCTGTCATAGAACCCAACCATTGGACTCTACATCATCCTGCTGAGAAAAGGCGTTCAGGTAAGACAACGCCCCTTTTAGAGGGTGGAAGAAAGACATTCCCTTCCCTCTCTCCTCACAGGAGGAAGAAATTTCAAGAGGCTTTTTACAGGAAAATATTTGGGATGAAAAGAAGGTAAGATCTCACCCAATTCCTCCGCGGTGCTTTTGAAGTGCTTGATAGTAATTTTGGCCTCTGCTGGTAGCAGCTTACTGATGGGCCATGTCAATGCTGATCTTTTTCCTGGGATCAAATGGGAGGGCTGCTGTGATCAGTTGGAGGTCCTCTTCATGCTTGTCACCCCTCCAGGATGACTTCTGATCTTTTTCAGGGCCCCCGGCGGGAGAAAACCAGACAGCAGAGAGACCGATCACCCTGTACATCCGCCAGTGCTGTGAGCACAAACCAGAAGCCTGCTTCTTTCAGGTCTTCTAACTGTAATGCAGATTAGACAACCATTTGACTGAAATAGTGTAGGATCTCCTGACTGAGCAAGCGATTGAAGTTCTCTGTTATTCTGTTTTTCTTGCCTTTCTACTGTTCATCCTATTTGCTTTCTTCTACTTCTTAGCATTTCTTCCTCTTTTCTTATCATTAATCCAAGTTTTTATTTTATTTTATTTTATATTTCTTAGACAATTTAAGTAATATTTCAAAGAGTTAACTAGCAAACTCAGTATGTTGGAAGAGTATCAAGGCTGAAGCAATGCCTACTCACACGATGTTGGTTTGTCCCTTTGTCAACCCACTTGAATTAATATCAACCATCTTTTCAGTATTTTCAATGGCCTGAAGATAACAATGTATCCTTGATTTATATAGTAAAATGTGTACAACTTACTATAAAAATCCAGTTTACTGAGAATAGTGGATACACACAGACAGAAAGACAGACAGACAGTAGAAAGACCTAAACTCCTGATTTACAGTCTTTGACAACATGTACTTGTTTTCTATTTATGAACTGATTGTTTATGAAGTAACAGAAAGGTATATCCATATTATTCAGTGTCAAAGTTTAATGGTTTGTTATTTCAGATTGGGATAAAATATTATCATCCAGCTACATTCAATATGTATCCTAGATTCTGATTTTCTGTGGGTTTTAAAGCAGATATGGAAATGAAATATAATTTATACAGAACCTGGAAACTTCTATGAAAAACATGGGAATTCCAAACTCCAGCAGTGTCCTTTCCAGAATTGCAAGTTCCAAGGAATGTTTGAATATGTGTTGCTGTTCAAATCTTCAAGACATTCCATTTTTATTTACAAGTTAGGCAATAAACAGTTCTAACATTCTTATTCAGGCATACTGAAGCATATACTCCAAAAAGTTCAACAATCCTAATAGCAATCTGTGAGTATAGGATTTTAGATTTTTTTTTAAATAAATAAATGAAAAGCTATACAGTTTTATATCCCTGAATTGTTTTTTACTCTTAGCTGCTCTTTTTTGTTGAGATCAGGCCTCAAAATAAGAATGTAGCATTTAGGGGAAAAGATACAAATCAATAAACCAGCACTGGAAGTTATAATTGAGAAGATCTCTACTGCAACCATATATTTTCCCTTGGTGCTCAAGTATGTTGGAATAAAGGACAACCAGACACTACAGAAGGCCAACATACTGAGGGTGATAAACTTGGCTTCATTGAAAGCATCAGGCAATTTCCTTGCTAAGAAAGCCACTGTGAAGCTAATAAAGGCAAGGAAGCCCATGTAGCCCAAGACACAGTAGAACATGTAGGTGGATCCTTCATTACATTCCAGAACTATTTCTTCTGCCATTGAACTCATATCAACATCTGGGAATGGGGGAGACATTGAAAGCCACGCAGTACATATAATACCCTCAATACAGGAGCAGCAAGATACTATGAAGAAGCCTAGTCTTTTCCCTACCCATTTGGTCATCTTGGAACCTGGCTTGGTGGATAGAAAAGCTATAACCACAATGATGGTTTTAGCCAAAACACAAGAAATGGCCACTGAGAAGATAATGGCAAAGGCAGTTTGACGAAGGACACACATCACTTTGGAAGGTTGGCCAATGAATAGCAAAGAACAAAGGAAAGACAACATGAGAGCAATAAGGAGAATATAGGTGAGAGTTCGGTTGTTGGCTTTGACGATGGGAGTGTCCTGATGCTTAATAAAAATCCAAAGTACTACAGCTGTGATGAAAGAAAAGAAAAGAACAAAACTGGTCAAAGCCATTCCCAAAGTTTCTTCATACATCAAGAAAGCTACTGCTTTGAAGAGACATAAATCCCGATTCTGATTTGGATACTGATCTTGTTGACATTTCAAACAATCATTCATGTCTGCAAACAAAATCAGATTAGAAATATCATAGTCTTGAAGTTGCATTAAAACGAGCAAATGACAATGCCTGTGATTAGGATAGCTAACTTAAAATCTGAAAGACAAAGTTCTGTAAATTTTCCTAAAGTTCTATTCTGCACTCAGAAATGACTAAGAGGAGATTTGCCATTCAAGTATTTTGAGAGGACCAATGGGGGCAGGTTAAGTTCATTCATGAAAAAAAGAATAATTTGTCATTTAACACATGAATAGATTATAGGTAAAATTAATTTTAATAATTCTGGTTGATATGGACATGGGTATGTTCTATTAATGAATTTGTGTTTTATTAGTCATTGATATCCCTAACTTTATTTCATCACAGCTGATGCTGCTGGAAAGAATGCACAGAATTTTTAAAAAGCAAGTGAAATATTTCACAGGATCATTTATTTCAATTTCTAAATTGCATTCCAAATTTTAACTTTTCAACTTTTTCATTGCACCTTCAATCCATTTGCATCTGACTTATATTGCTACCACGTAGGACTTAGCCAGAGAATGTGGAAACTACAAGACTGTTCTGGAGTCAGTTTGGAACTGAGTGACAGGTCTTGACTCCAATTTTAAATAATGATATCGTTAGACTGTTTATTCCATTTACATGGTCAGAAAGTTGAAATTACTCCCAATAATTCTGAGGGTTTTTTTAAAAAAATTTAAAACAGTTGAGAAGACAACATCTGCAGGCAAAACCTTGCTCATAATGCTAGCCAATGCAGTTCAAGAAACTACAGAAGTCCGAGAGGCAAATACAAAATTCATCTGGAAAACACTTTTTCTAAAACTAATCATTAACAGTAGTGTTACATGCTTTATAGTTCATAAGGAAAATAATAATAATTTGTTTTCTAAGTGAGGAATTACCCCCAAACTTCAAGCAATATATTAGCATTCTATATGACAACTCTTACCTTCCTGGTTGGCAATTTTCCCTTCTGGACACTGAAGACAATTATAGCAGCAAAATGGCTTCCCTTCCAATTTGTTCTTACTATATCCTGAATGGCATTTGCTATTACAGAGAGAAAGTGGCTGGGACTGTCCATAACGAAGAAGAGAATGGTTGTGATTGTCAGAAAATGCTTCTGAATGGACCAGACTAGATTAATATTTATAAAATTGCTTTTTTTCATATTGCTTTCCTATTGGTCATGGCAAGGTCTAATATTTGGAGTTAATTGGAGAATATTTGATGTTAATTAGAGAAACAGAATGGAGGGTTGAGACAGATAGCAAGACAGAGACAGAGAAAGAGGGCGTACAGAGAAAGCAGTGTGGTAGGATGTTAATGAAAACTTAATGAATGAAAACTTAAAACTAAGAAAGAAGGCAATGATTTAGTACTTTGCATATTTAGACAATGTCTATGAACTACTCTGTTTTTGTTTACTTTTTCCCCCTAAGGAATTATATGTCTATTAAGGCTGTGATATTATTTTTCCTTCTTCTGAATTACAAATGTCTTATGATGTTGTTATTTCACTTGAATAATTTACTTTATTAGGTCAGAGCAGGTATGTTGAGTGGAGGTTTTTTGTACGGAAAATGGTGACCTGAAAACGGCTCCACAAAAAGTGGAACTGACAATTATGGTGAAATGAAGAGTCAGCGAGTAGACTTCAGATCAACTATGTGTGCTCATCAGAGACTGAATACTTGAATACTTCTTTCCCATTTCCTTGTACTTTATCTTATTTTGAAGTTTATTTTTTTTTTAAAAAAAGGAGTGAAATGATGAGATTTTATAGATTTGTTTATACTTGTGATAAAGAGGAAAGTTCTTTATATACTTCTTATTTCTCATTTCTCATCATGAACTAGAATTTCTCACTGGCCAACTTATGAAAAATCATTTAGCACTAGACTACATTCAACCAGATATTCCTTGATCCCTTCTTCCTGTTTGACATCTGTCCATGCTATAAAGAAGCATGTCTAGTTAATACAACTAAATGACAGCCTATATAGGATTATGCAAATGAGGAATAAGAAAAGTGGTTAATGATGTTGCACTATTTTTTTACTCACATTCTGAACTTTTATTCTTAGTTAATCAGAGTGAGATATTGTATTCCAAATTCAAGTAAGAAAAATCATACCCCAACGTTATCCTATACCTCAACCTGCCATTAACACATTAGTTGATAATCAATAGATACATAGAAAGATTTTCTAAAGCTAACCATATGGCCTAGATAGAGAATCAGAGACCATTTTGTTTCTGAATGTAAATATTGGTGAAATCATTACTTGCTGTCTGATTTCATTAGTGGAATAATTATTGGACATAGTTGAATTTAACTTCCCTGGCATACCTGGTTAAACCTTCTTGGCCACACAACAGAAGTCTCAGAAGAAGAGAATATTTCTCTTTGGGATTTCATGGGATCTATTCCTCCAACTCTGACTCGCAGGAAAGACTGATTTGGGAAAGTGATCCAATTCATTATGTCAAATCCAACCTGTAATTCACCATTCAGATTGAAGGATATCGTATCTCCTGCATTGTTGTTAAACGTGGTCTTTCTCACAAAGTGATTGAGCTAAGTTGAGAAACATTTTAAAAATAAATAAATAAATATACCAATACATACAAAAAAAAAATAATGATCTAACACTGAAAGTTTTTAAGCAGAAATTGGACAACCATTTGATTGAAATGTAATAGGGTTTCCTATCTGAGCAGGGGATTGGACTAGAAGACCTCCAGGGTCCTCCCAACTCTCTTTTTTTATTTTTATTCTATTCTAATATAATTTTCCTTTTGAGAAAGAACAGGTAATAAATCCTTTCAAAGCTTTAACAAGGATGACAGTGTAATACTAGTTGACAAAGCATATCATGAATAAACTCATATTATTGAATTATTTTTAAATACAATAAAATGTACAATTGAGAAATATTAAAAGTTATGGGACTATCTAAAACAGATTAAAATTAAGAATTCAAAACTTTCATGATTTGCAATATGTTTGATGAACATAAAAATAATTGAAATATTAAGAATATTGGCTAATATTTGTGGGGAAGGTGGGAAAATATGTTTTAATAAAATTACACATAAACCGTAAGAAATTAGAATTTGTCAATTTTATAGACCAGGTAAGTGCACTAATATATTGCCTTATATTAATTACTTGATTTCTTGAAAATATAATACAACTTTGTATACTCTTACTCATATTAATATGCAGTAGATAAATCTAATTTCAAACTATATGTGGATATAAATCTGACAAAGCTTTTGAATTTTGTTGACTTAGGGCTTTACCTTCCAAAATTGTTGTTCCAGAAAGGAAAGTTGGGGCTTGTGGTTTTCTGTTCTGAATGGGAATGCAGATGACAGCATGGCATGCAACGCATGAGCTACCACATAGACTGCATTGTAGGTGCTATAGCTGTGGCCAGTCATGTCCATTTCAAACACAGATGTCAAAAGAGTCTCCAGTTTCTCCTCTCCGGTGCACATGACTTCTTTTTCATCATCTATCATGGAGTTGGAGAATGAACATTCAAATGCATTTTTCCAGAAGAGCTTGATAAAGCTATCCTCTTTGTCAAAGACAGGCTTTCTCAGCTGAACAAATTCCCGGAACCCAGACACTTTGTTTGAATGAATTGTAAAAGAGAGGGCACCGTGGATGAAGTCTATGTCCTCATTTCTTATGAAGGGAAGTGAAATGAAATCTATTTGTGCTGTCATCACCCAGACTTTAACTTTTGTCCACAGCTCTATTCCTTCCGTTTTGGAAATAATGGGGAATGTTCTGAAAAAAATCATGTCATCAATTTCCCCATGGATTATTACTACATTAGTGGTGCTTCTCATAATCACCTTATATGTTTTAATTCCCTCTTCCATAAAGTCAAAAATGCTATTTGAATAAGTTGTTGCTGGAATTCCTTCAATGAAATCAAAGCAAATACCTCTTTGCGAAAACATGGCTACTACATCATGTACAAATCTCTCACTATTCTCATTCTTTGCAGAAATTATACCAATCCATGTCCATTTAAAGTGCAGTAGCAATAAGAGAATTCCTTTGTACTGATAGCTGATATTTGGAAACATCTGTTGGTATAAAACAGCTTCTCTTTTTCCTTTTATCTCCAGAGTATAACTATATATGACCTATAAACACATCGAAATAATGGGTTGGAAGGATATATACTCAACTTCACATATTTTGAAGTGCCCTAAGAGTATAAATTAAACTCAAATTCCTATTTCAAAGTTTGAATCCAGCCATACTTTACACATGAATTTAGGGCATGTTGATGGACCAGAATGTTCCCACATTCCAACTTTGATGAGTTGGAATTTACATGGAAAAAAAATGTTTTACTAGACCTCCAGTTTTTTGTTTTTGTTTTTGTTTTTGTATTGGGGAATCTACTGTATAGTAGTGCATTGCTCCATAAGCAAAGCTGAATCAACAAAACTAAACTGCTAGGCAGTTTGCCCCAGACAATCTATTAAATTGTCCAATATGCATTTCATGGAAATGATTTTTTTTTTGCATCATATGAACAAAGCAGAACATATATTGTGAATAACATGGACAGTCAAGAAAACAAACACAGATCATAGAAAAAAAATTTGAATACAAATGACCAGATTCAAATATCCCAATTTGGATACATTATATAAAGGTTTGCAATAGTGGTGAATATCCACAGTTCGGGTGTAGGATTAGGATGAAGTTTTGTTCTCTGAGCTTGTGGGATGGTTTCTGAATTTTTCATTACCAGACTAGGTAACACCTTCAACGGAATTTAGGGGATCTCAGTATTAGAATTTAGGGGATAACACCGACACTGACATCCCTTAAGCTCCACTGAAGATCTTACCTAGCCTGGTAATGAAACGTTCAGAAATCAACCCACAAGCTTGGAGAATGAACCTTTATCCTCACATTATATAAAGATCTGGCTTTCTGGAGAAGATCTAATGCTGGATAACATGGAAGACAAGAGAAAAAGAGGATCACCAGCAGCAAGTGGAATAGACACTGTCAAATTGGCAATGGATACACCACTTGAAGACTTGAATGACCAGGTTAGGGATACATTGTCATGGAGAAAAACTATCTATGTAGTCACTAAGATTCAACATTAAATTCATGGCAAAATCAATCATAATGAATAGGTTAATTAGTTATGAATAGATATGGATGTTTGTGGTAGTGGCATTATGGATGTATCCACAGTCCTCTTTTGCATCAGAAGTTAGTACTGAAGTGCTCCCCAAAATTATTTTAATCCTAATGACATAGCCACAACAGTAAAATATAAGCCAGCAGTCTGTGGAAGCAGCCAAAAAAAACCCAATGCAATCCTAGGTTGCATTAACAGAGGGATAGAATCAAGATTATATCAAGTATTAGTACCACCTTATCAAGCTTTTGTAAGACCACACATACTATGGTTTTGGTCACCATATTTTAAAAAAGATGTAGAGTGCAGAAAAGAGCAACAAAGGTGATTAGGGGGCTGAAGGCTGAAAACCTATGAAGAACTCACAGGAATTAGATTTGTTTAGTCTGGTGGGGGAAAAAAGACTAGGAGTGACATGATAGTAGTGTTCCAATATTAGAGGGGCTGCCACAAAGAAGAGGGGGTTCAACCTATTTTCCAAAGCACTGGAAGGCAAGAAAGAAACAATGGATGGAAAACTAATCAAGGAGAAAAGCAAGCTCAAACTAAGGAGAAATTTCCTAACAGTGAAAATAATTAATCAGTAGGACAGCTTGCCTTCAGAAGCTGTGGATGCTCCATCACTGGAGGCTTTTAAGAAGAGACTGGACAATCACTTGTGTGGAATGGTATAGGTCCCTTCCAACTCTGTTATTCTGTTAAGTTTCTTTTCAGTGCATAGAGATCCATTTTTAAGAAAGACATCCTCTTAATTCATTCATACAATAACTATATCCATTTAAGTAGTGAATGAATAAAAGTTCAATGTTCCAAACAAGCAATATACCTGTGGCATCTTGTAAAGGGACAGGGTGGTTGACATATGAGCCCCAACTGCAGCAGTTGGTCCTCCAATGACAGCAATTGGCCTATTCTGCATGTCACAGCTGTAGTTAGGGATGAATCTGTCCTGAGTAGAGAACAGTTCCAATGAGGCGCGATAGGTCCAACTTGGACTAAAATACCCATTGTAGATATGGAAGCCCAAGGTATGGTTAGATAAGATCTCAGGATTTTCATTGATTTCCTTGACTGCAAATTGTAAAGCCAGAAATTGTTGATAGATTGATGTGATTACTCTAGAAAGAATAGTACATATTATTGTACAGCATTTGTGGTTTAAAGTAAAATAAAACAGTTGGCATGGTCATGAAAGTCTCAATTAGTGAGATTAATGAATCCCATGAAATGGTCACCATATTCAAATTAGCACTATTTGAAGTGATATTTCCACAGAAAATAGAGTAATTGGCTTCAGTTTCATTGAAATAGGCAATTGAAGAATTGTAAGCATAATTTTTATATTTTATTAATGTACTATTACAGCAATTCCAAATTATTGCAGTCATAGAAAAATAAATACCTGTACTAAAATTGAAACTATTACAGCAAAATATTAAAAGACATTTACCACCTAAATGTATTTTAACAAAGTCACAGTAGCTATGAAAAGCAAAAGAAAAATATTTTAAATATTATTCCTATTTCTTCTAGATATATAGAACTCATAAATATTTAAAATAAAGTGAAGAAAGGGTAAGTTGAAGGATAAACTCATATCCGAAGGGTACCTACTATCCCTTGTATTGTGCTGTTGTTCTTAAAAATGAGCCTTTTCTTTTTTTGAGCTTTCCTCAAATGGAATCTTCCTCTTCTCCATTTTGCAACTGCTACAATTGGAATCTAAAACCCCAACTGTGCCTACACTAGGCTCACACTAACTAAATTTTGACTTGCATTAAACACAACTTGGTATCAATTTATATTCTGCATTAATATCACCCTTTTCAACAAATAATTGTGATCTAATTGTACTGTTTTGTTCTTTTTAAAAAATGCATATTAATACAAGCAAGTAAGATTCTGGTTCTCATTTAAGATAATTTTGAAAGGTATACAGAGACAGTACCTATCTTGGAGGTCTATTGGATTAACACAGAAGTTTTATTTGGTATCATATCATATCATTTATCATATCATCATATCAAATCACATCATATCATATCATATCGTATCATATCTGTTATGTTTCTAGTTTGGTGAGGCGAATGGTGCAAACAACAACCCTTTATTCAGTTCACAAGAAGAAGCAGCACTAGCTGCTGCTTAACCTCTATTTGTAAAGATCACCGCTAGACGATGGCCAATAGGATTACAGCATTATTTCCTGCTTAAACATAAGCTAATTAGTCTGTAGACAGTCAGTCTGGAGTTTTTGAACAGACGTAGCCATTTGAGCATTTCTAACAGTTTCCAAGTAATTCAAAGTAATCCACATCAATACATAACAATATCAAACTATATCTAATAATTAATTGCAAGTATCAGTTCCTTACTAGAAAGAAATCAGTGTTTATATTCAATGCTACTCCCTTCTGATTATGGAAATTAATTTCAGATAACATGGCAAATTTCTTAATTCTGTTCTATTAGTATTTGACCTAATAGATTCTTCATTACACATATAGTATATTTTTTTCATGTAAGAACCTTATTAGGAAAAAAATATTACTAAAGAAATAAAATCAGAAATTTAGAAGAAAGAGGAGGATTTTCATCACTGCTCTTTTCAGTAGAAGTTCTAAACTTTCTTCAGAAGACTTGGTTGGAAAAGATGACCATCTTACTCAGCTCCCTCTTCAGCTCAATATCTGAACCAGATACATAGAGTTTTGTGATACACAATACTATTGGTTCTAGCATTCCTTTATAGTCCAGGTTTTAGACATTTCAGCATAATACCTTATTACCTCACACTTCAGAAAAGGATTTCTTGTCTCACTTTTCCTAGGGATGTGTTATTTTCTAAAGAAATGTTATCATTTGTGCTAATAAAATACTTAAGACCCCCAAAAAATATGAAATATTTGTTCTCAATGTACAGGTTTTTAACATTTACTGCCTGAAATAAATTTTATTCTGAAGTGGTAGAAAAGGAACACAAGCATTTTTAAATGCATAGGATGTCATTCAGCAAAGACTGGATAATACACAACATTAATTTATTTTTTTTAATGCAATACAGTTAACAGCAAACAAAGACCAGGTTTGTCAATACAAATTATTATGTAGTACATATGAATCATACAGAATCTTAAATTGAGCTTAACTTTTGGTGATTGCATTCATGCAGGGTTTTTTTTTTTTCAAAACCTTACATGAATTACTTATCTTTGTCTTCTTCTAGAATTTTGATTTATATTTTGCTTCCCAACCTAGTCAATAGCCACAAAATTCTCAGATTGTCCCAAACCAAGCCAGATCCTGCTTAGATTCTCAGATCAGACAAGGTTGGCTTGCTGCTGCCAGATATATCTGTTGGGATGTATGTTTGAAAGAAACTTACAGAATGTCATCAAAGAGATGAGCAGAGGGTGCTTCACTGAAGTCCATTACGGAAGAGAATATGTAGATGTTAGATAAAATACCTACAATGATCAGGTCTCCTGGTTGGTATTGCTTATGGAGAAAAGGCAGGGGCTCCCCAATCCTGCATTTAGCACTGGGAATTTTGCATACAATTTGGGGTAAAAGCACTAAAACCAATGCTTCAAACACCACCATCCTGACAGTTCCTTTTAAAGCCATTTCTACTGTGCCAGCATTGTCCATCAGCCAGTTTACATAAAAGCCCAGGTGGTGAGTAAATAACTCTTTGAACTAAAAAATTGTCAGGCAGTGAGACTCACAGAATCCTTTCTAGCTTATTCCCAAAGGAAACACAATATGAGAAAAGCAAAAGTATTTGAAAAAAAATATACAGTGCCATTAATACCCCCTGGAGTGTTTTCTCATGTGTTTCCATTCTAGTGATTCTAGAATTCATGTAGAATATAACTCAGAATAACTCAGAAGTTATTCCACTTAATGAATAACTATAAGAAAAAAAACCTCTAAATCATAAATAAGGAAACTTTTTTATGTTGTTGATCATATAGGCCAGGGGTCTTCAACATTTGTGGGTTGATGGCCTGATGGGAGAGGATAGGGCAGGGGTTTTATGCACACATGCACAAATGTGAATGTAGCCATGTGTATGTGCGAGTACAAACATGCTGTGAGCATGCACACCACACACACGGGACTGCGAGCAGGCACGCAAGGTCTCAGCAACGGGGGCACCTATGTGAGGCTTGTGGTGCTGCAACGCCAAGCTCACAGTGATGCTACCACCAGCATGAGGATCGTGCCACCACCCCCGTGTGAGGAAATGACAGTATTCATTCCTAAAAGATATAGTTAATAGATAAAAACTATAAACATTAAATTGAAGCATCTTTTTTCCCTACATTTTACTTTCCAATTTGCTCACTCACAAAATTTGACATAGTTCAAGAATCTCAACGTTTTGGTCACATTTTGGAAAAATTCCTTTGGCTTTCTTTTAAAACAAATTTTAGATTTCTTAGCATTATGTAAAAAAATAACTACACTTTTCAGTTACACCTGAAGAAAAACGTTGCTTTTATTCATATTTTATTCTTGAAATATGTTGAATAGGTAGAATCTGCCATAGTGCTGTTGCTTAAATAAATAAATTAAAATGAATGAATGGACGGACGGATGGATGGATGGATGGATGAATGGCCACTAAACATTTCAACTGGCTTTTGATCAGCAGACATTTCAAGAACTGAACAAAAATCCCCAAAAGCATGCAGTAGCTTGTTTTAAAGGTAATTAATTGAAATTCCATTTCAGTTATAGAAGAGGGAAATTATATAATGAGAACACAGTCTTGTAAAATACAAGATGGTTACTTGAAAAAGAAATATTTTTAACATAAACTGCTTTACTTACAGCTAACTTTAAATTCTTTAGTTTTTCCCCCTTCTTATATATTCCTTGTTATTTAAATCAGGTCTCACCAGAATAATATAACATTTTGGGAAGAAGATGAAAGCCAGTAACCCCCCACTGGAACACAAAATGGAGAAGATCTCTACAGCCACCATATATTTCCCCGTTGTGCTCAAATAAGTTGGAACAAAGGACAGCCAGACGCTGCAAAAGACCAACATGCTGAAGGTGATAAATTTGGCTTCATTAAATGTATCTGGCAACTTCCTGACCAGGAAAGCCACAATGAAGCTGATAATTGCCAAGAAACCCATAAAACCAAGGACACAGTAGAACATGACAACTGACCCTTCCTTACATATCAGTGCAATTTCCTTTGGCATGGAATACATGTCAGCATCTAGGAATGGGGGAGAGGTTGTTAGCCATACAATACAAATAATGGTTTGAACAAAGGAACAAGAAAGAACCATAGAAACAGCCAATCTGTTCCCCATCCATTTTCTAATTCTGGACCCTGGCTTGGTAGCCATGAAAGCTAGAAATACAATGATAGTCTTTGCCAAAATGTTAGAAACTGCCACAGAGAATATGATGCCAAAAGTAACTTGCCGAAGAACATATGTCCATTGATGAGGCTGACCAAGAAAAAGCAAAACACAGAGAAATGAGAGCAGGAGAGAGATGAGAAGAATGTAGGTGAGGGTCTCATTGTTGGCTTTCACAATAGGGGTGTCATGGTGTTTAATGAAAAGCCAGAGCAGAAAAATAGTAATGATAGAAAAAATAATAATGAAACTAGTAAAAATGTTTCCCAATATTTCTTCATAGGACAAAAATGTTACATATTTTGGAAGGCAGAAATTTTGCTCCTCGTTTGGATAATGATCTAGTGGACATTGAAAGCAGCTGTCCATATCTGTGGGGAAAGAGAAACAGGCTTTTATTCTATATATATATAGCTTTCATGAAAACTATATTAGAATAAATAAATCTGTTCTAACTGTTTATCCATATAGACAACTGAATAATGGACAACCTGAGTACCTCAGCAGATCCTCAGTCATGATCACAGACCATAAGTGGGCAACCACTCCTCCATGTATTATCGCTTACCCTTCTGATTAGAAATCTTCCCTCTTGGACAAGGAAGGCAATTATAGCAGCAAAATGGTTTCCCTTCTTTTTTGGCCTTCCTGTAACCTGGATGACAATTGTCATTGCAAACAGAAAGAGGCTTTGTCTATAGATAAAAGAAAGAGAAGAATATTGTCCATCTTGCAAATCTGCATATCTACAAATAATCATAGCTGCTTTTGCTTTCACAGATGAATCATTCAGAAGGAATTCATATATGATAACTTACAATGAAGAATCCTTTAAGGGAAAAATGTTTTTCAATTGTGTGTCCTGTGCTTGTATAGATGAATTATTCAGAATGAATTCAGATGAGCCAGATTAAAAAAAAAAGTAACGATGTATATCTGCACCAATCAAATGCTATTTAAATATCGTATTTTGAATTCATTAGCATTTCTCAGTGATATTTTGTTTATTACTGATTTTCCTTTTACAAGTTTACAATTAAAAATATTTCAATTATAGATAATAACTCGAATGAATGAATATACCTCCCAAATATATAGTCATGATTTTGGATGGAAACCATGGTATAAATGAATGCAACCAAATAAACATGACATTCACACATGGACACATTAAGCAAGAAGAGGTGACATGCAGGTCTTGAAATATATGATTCCTGCATATTGATGTACCGTATGTAGAAATAAATATTTGAACATTTCATGTTAATTCTTTCTCCTGACTTTTCTTTCTACATTTTCTCTTTATTTTCAGACAATTTCCTGAGACAGTTGAAGAAGAGTTACTTCCCCAAAAAATTTTTTAAAGTTTGAATAGAACTCAAAGGTGTTACAGGACCTACCATATTTTTTTATTGAAAAGTTTTATACAAATTTTATTACAATACAATATCCCTCCCTCCCTCCCCCCCACCCTAACCCTCACCCTCCCCTCACTTCCCAGAGCTGATTACAGGGTTACAAATAAGCAAAGAAATTCTAACAAAGCTTATCCAACTATACCAATAACCAAAACCACAAAATACTTTAACTCAAAACAAAACAAAAATGGCAATATAAACAATTCCCACTTTAAACTATAAGTTATTCAAAAACTAAATGATACTTTCTAATCCCATATTTATTCTGTACATAATTTATCCATCTTCTCCACACCGAGATGTTTCTTTCTTGAGAATGATCCTTCAAATAAGCAGAAAGTTTGGCCATTTCTGCTAAATTAGAAACTTTAAGCGACCATTCTTCTATAGTGGGCAAAGAATCTTTTCTCCAATATTGCCCAACCAGTAACCTTGCAGCCATAATAAGATTCAACATTAAAATAGTTTCTTTAACATCACAATCTACAATAATACCTAACAAAAATAATTGTGGTGAAAACTTTATCTTTCTCTTGAAAATCTTTTGAATGTTCCACCAAATCTTAATCCAAAAAACTTTTATGTTTCTATACGTCCACCAAATATGATAATAGGTTGCATCCAAGCAACCACATCTCCAACACTTAGGCTGTAAATTAGGATACATGAGAGACAATTTTTGGGGATCCAAATGCCACTTATAAAACATTTTATAAAAATTTTCTCTTAAATTTTGAGCCTGAGTAAACTTCACATTCCCAACCCAAATTGCCTCCCATGTATCTAATAAAAATCGGCTCTTGAAAATTTTGGGCCCATTTTATCATACAATCTTTGACTAATTCCATCTCTGAATCCAATTCCACTAATACATTATAAACTCTCTTTATATGAGCTTGACTTTGATCTCTAATTTGTTTTATCAAATTCTCATCCTCTAAAGTAATACCAGCCTTTTGGTCTAAACTCCATCTATCTAACATTTGCCTATACTGAAACCAAGAGTAAACAATATTTTCTTGCCTTAATTCATCTAGCGATTTTAATTGCCAATCCTTCCCTTCCAATTTAAGCAATTGATTATAAGAAATCCTGTCCAACTTCACACCTCTCAATATCCCCACTACTGCGTGTCCAGGAATCCCCCAAATTGGCATTTTATAATTTAATCTCTAGTAATATTTCTTCCAGACACGCAATAAAGCAATTCTTAAAATATGAGATTTAAAAGCCCTATCTACTTTCTTGTTATAAATTAAATATGCATGCCATCCATATAATAAATCCCATTCCTCCAAAGAAAGTATATTTTGGTTTGTTAAGTTAATCCAATCACTAACCAATGTTAAAGCCACAGCATCATAGTACAATTTCAAATTAGGCATCTTAAATCCTCTTCTTTCTCGTACATTTTGTATAATCTTAAGATTAACTCTTGGTTTTTTCCCTGCCCAAATAAATTTGTTAATACCCTTTTGCCATTCATCTAAATTAACATCTTTCTTCAAAATAGGTATCATCTGAAAAAAAAAAAAGACATTTTGGTAGAACATTCATTTTAACAACTGAAATTCTCACTAACAAAGATAATTGTAGTTTTTTTTCCAATCATTTAAATCCTTCTGCACTTTAATCCATAATGTTTCATAATTATTTTTGTACAATTTTGCATTAGAAGCTGTTATATACACTCCCAAATATTTAACCTTTTTTACTATTTCAAAACCTGTCAGGTTAACTAAGATTTCCTTTTACAGAACCTACCATATTAAACCACCTTGGCCAGATTATGATTTCCTCTGAAATAGTAAATGTATTTTGTGTGAGAGACAAGGGTTGTATGTCTCCAACTTTGACTCTAAGGAAAGAAATATTTGGGAATATTACCCAGTTGATAATATCAAATCCAGTTTCCATTTCTCCATTTTGATTGAAGAAAACTGTTTCTCCAACACTGTTGTTAAATGAGATGATTTTCACAAAATGGTTAAGCTAAAGAAATGAGATGAGATTGCAATTCATCAGGATATATGCTCTTTTCCATTTAACAAATAGACATAGGCAGGAAACGGGAATTAGAATAGTGTTCTAGAGAAAAAGGAGAAATTAGGATGAATAAATTTATTTTCTGAGTCAACTGTGCCTGTATGATTGTGTTTCAATACATAAGAACTCTTAGGCAAATAGCCTATCAGAGCTTTCTGGGAAGATGCATCAATAACAGTCTTTCTACAACTGATCCAACATATTTCTAATTATAAAACTGAAGTTGTTTGGAACCTACAAAAATCACTATTACACTCTTTACAGAATATCCATGAATGAAGTAAGTAGAAATGCAGCCTATTTAGAAAGGCACATCTTACCACTGTGAAAAAAAGAGATCACCTGACAGTTTGTGAACCAATACTAGCTTCCCTGACTTACATTTTTAGGTAATATTAAGCTTCAGAAATTAGTAACCATGGTCTAGATAACAGAGTTCCTGATGTTTCATGAGCATCTGCTATGAAGTAGACCAACTTTCCTCTGAAGATATAGTCCACATTTGTTAACCAGATTCCATTCCTACTCAGACCATATATACTTTTGAAATTTTAAACCATGTGAGTATCACGTAGTTGGTACTCAACTACTTTGAAACTTATCAAATTTGGTACTCAATGGATTTTGAAGCAAAAATTTTGTCCTGATTCTCGTTGTTTGTTTGATACGCAATGCACAGACTAGAACGTTGTTATCAGCTGCCTTGTGACACACTATATTATTTCCTACAGGAAAATTTTGTTTGCTACTTATCAATTTTGGTACTTATCACACCTCCTGGAACCAATTAACAAAATGGTCCTAGGCACAAAGGAAATACAACACAAAACATTATTATTGTTATTTATGAGACACATTGACCTAATTGTAATCAGTTTTAATTGTTTAATACATTACCTCCCATACCTGTTGGACCAGTAGGCTTTGGATTGCTTCAATGATATTCTCTTTTTTTTTAAGTTTGAATGAAAGCATGTTGTGCAAAGCATATGCCACAGCATAGATTGCATTGTAGATGCTGTAGCTATGGGAGGTCATGCTCATTTCAAAAATGGATGCTGGGAGATTCTCCAGTTTCTCCTCACCGGTGCAGGAGACCCTTCCTTGCCTGTTTATCATGGACTCAGAAAAGAAACATCCAAAGGCCTCTTCCCAAAAAGCCTGAATGAAACCATCTTCTCCTTTAAAGGTAGCTTTTGTCAACTGAAGAAAGTCAGTGAACCTTGGGACTTCCTTTGAGTGAATTGCCAAGGACAGGGCACCATGAAGCAACTCTATGTCTTCATTCTTTTGAAAGGGGAATGATGTGAATTCCATCTGAGCTGTCATAATGTAAACCCTTCCTTTTGACATTATTGATACATCCTCATATTTTGATAATATGGAAAACATTCTGAAAAATATCATGGTCTCAATTTCACTCATTATACTGATTTATTCCCTCTGTCATAATCTTATCAATGTTATTAACTGATGTAATTACTGGGAATCTTTCTATATAATCAAAGCAGATTCCTTTCTGAGAAAATGCAGGAAGAACATCCTGGACAAATCTCTCTCCATTGTTATCATTGTTGTATAGTATTCCAATCCATGTCCACTGGAAATGTAATAGTAACTGGAGAATCCCATTATATTGTCTGTGTACATCTGGAAACATCTGGTGATAGAAAACAGCTTGAGTTTTCCTATTCATCTCAGAAGCAGAGCCATAAGTGAACTGTAGTACATAAACAAAAATTGTGTTAGAGAATTAATAACTAGATAAATCTATTTTACATCCTCTACCATGTGTGAGTTAAATACCATTTCTTTCTTACATGAAGGAGTTTATGAAATCAAGTTCCCTAATCTTGTAGACTGAACGTGCTGAAAAGCAGATGCCTTGCTATGTAACAATAAAAAGATACAATAGAAATGTGAAAAAATGCTTTTGAAAAAGATGAACAAAGAATCTCCAGCAGACTGAATTCAAATAAAAATGAAAGTGATTTGGGATGAGTTCAGTCAGTATAGCATTGCATGGGCAGATACTCCATTTGGAGATACTCCATTTGGAGGCATGGGATTTACTTTTTGGTTGGCATGCCTATTTAATATTTAATAAAAAAGTAGACCGGGCTTTTAAATCTCATATTATAAGAATCTCCTTACTTAGGGTCTGGAGAAAATATTATAAAAGTAATTTTAAAATACCATTATGGGCTATACCTTGGCATGAGATAGAGGGGATAAAAAGAGGTGTCAAAATGGATACGGTGTCTTATACACAGTTACTTAGATGGGATGGACAAAATTGGCAGTTAAAACTATTGGAAGAGCTAGCATATGAAAATATTATTTATTCTTGGTTTCAATATAGGCAATTAGTAGATAGATGGAAGATGGATCGTAAGGTGGGTTTTCTCAGAGAAGATGAAAATTTTATTAAGCAAGTGAAGGATCAAAGACAAACTCATATTAAGAGAATTTATGGGGTTCTAGTGGAATTGGATTCAGAAACAGAATTAATTAAGGATTGTATGATTAAATGGGCGCAGAATTTTGGTGAACCAGTTCTACTGGATACCTGGGAAACTATCTGGGTGAGAAATGTTAAATTTACACAAGCACAGAATTTAAGGGAGAATTTTTATAAAATGTTTTATAGATGGCACCTTGATCCACAAAAAATGTCTTTTATGTACCCTGACCTACAGCCTAAATGTTGGAGATGTGGTTGTTTGGATGCCACCTATTATCATATCTGGTGGTCGTGCAGAAATATAAAAGCTTTTTGGATTAAGATATGGTGGAATATTCAGAGAATTTTTAGAAGGAGGGTAAAATCTACTCCACAATTATTTTTATTAGGTATAGTTACTGAATGTGATACAAAGGAGGTTATATTAATGTTGAACTTGATCACAGCTGCAAGGCTGTTAGTAGGACAATATTGGAAGAAGGAATCTTTGCCTACTTTGCAGGAATGGTTTCTTAAAGTGTCTTATTTGGCGGAAATGGCAAAGATTTCAGCTTTCTTAAAAGAACAATCGCAAGAGAAATTTCTTGCTGTTTGGGATAAATGGATAAAGTTTATACAATTTAAATTGGATATATAAAAAAATATCATCTAGCCTTTTTATAACTTTTATTTATATATATATACATATATTTTAGTGTTATATTCTTTTTTTTTCTTTCATATAATTTTTTTAACTTTTTTTAATTAAACCTTTATTCTGCTCTGGGAAGCTCCGGGGGGAGGGAGTGGGGGTTTTGGGGAGGGTTGGGGAAGGGTTGTTTTGTTTTGTTTTGCTTTGTTTTGTTTTGCTTTGTTTTTGTATTGTATTGTATTGTGTTTTTTTTTTATCTTTTTGTAAAAATTTATAAAAATTTTTAATAAAAAAAAAAGAAATGTGAAAAAATGCTTTTGAAAAAGATGAACAAAGAATCTCCAGCAGACTGAATTCAAATAAAAATGAAAGTGATTTGGGATGAGTTCAGTCAGTATAGCATTGCATGGGCTGAAAATAAATAATGCAAATGGTTTTGTTTGCATGTTAGAACATCAACACAAAACTGTTCCCCTACTATTTTACATATTTATTTATTTCTCACTAAAGGGAAATCTGTGTTCTTTACAGGTTTTCATTAACAGTTCATAGTAAAAGGAAAGGGTATTGCTGTATATTTTTTAAAATTATTTATACCCAAAGAGAGAAACATTAAACTTAAATGACAGACAGACAGACAGATAGACAGACAGACAGACAGATTTAAAACCTGGGAGAAATCTCTTACTTGTGGAATCTTGTAAATAGACAGGATAGCTGCCATGTGGATACAGACTTCAGAATTAGGTCCTCCAATGACTGACACTAGATTGTTTTCTGTTTCACACTTGTAGTTAGGGATTAACTTTCCTTGTGTTGAGAAGAGTTCCATTGAGGCATGATATGTCCAGCTTGCAATAAAATTGCTGTTGTAGATATGGGAGTCCAGAGTGAGGTTGGGCAAAATCTGGGGATTTTCATTGATCTCCTTTATAGCAAATGCCAAAGACAAAATGTGTTGGTAAAGCTGAGTCACCATCCTGAAATGAAATGAAATGAAAAGCTCATTTGAGCAAATTGGTTTCAGAAAAGTAGCTTTAAATATATTGTACTTAAAGCTACCATCAGATGAGAGTGCATTGATCAGATAACACTGAATCAAACTTACAGCTCAACAAGGTTTTCCTGTCCACACAAGTCTTGCAAGACTAAAATAACTAAGCAATATATTATTATGAATAACTGAAGTTCTGGGAAATCAAAACTTCAGTTATTCATAATAGCATACTGGTAATCAGTTCCACTGTTGATATTTAATTTAGAAACAGTGAAAATTAGAACAGCTTTAAGTCTCAGTGTAAATGAATAGATAATTTTTTAAAAAATTTCCATTTCATAAAGGCATTTCGTAACTCAAAAAACATGAGTTTTTTTTAAAAAAAAACAACTCAAAAGTAATACTCAAAACAAATTTATTTTGCCATGCCACTGAATTACTCCAATTCTGTTTAAGGAATACGGGAATCTTGAAATAAAATTGGATATTTCTTTAGTAAAAACAAAACAAAACAAAAATTTTGTAAAAAAGATTTTAATCAAGAATTTTAGCAAATGGATTTATGATTATACTTTGTGAAACTTTATTAAAAGTAAATATTTCATCAGCATCTCATCCTCATGCAACAAGCTACAAATATAACATAAAACAATATTTTATTATGTGGGATTCGTAACACTTCCTCCAAAATAATTTACAGATAAGTTAATTAATAAACTGCAGAAAAGTAGATACATAAAAAACATTAAACCTCTTCCACAGAATTAACTGAGAACTTGATCTGCCAAAATCATGAACTCAAAATCATGAACTTATCCATATGAATGAGATTAAATAAAACTGTTGATTTCCAATGCATTATTAATGGCCTTTGACATCCAAGACATCTTTGAACTATTTTAGTCTTCATTGAAAAAGGGATAATACAATACAGACCCAACACCAGAAATCAAACTCAGTTCTGAATAATTTTTAGATTCATGAGTATCTTACTCAGCATCATAGAAAAGGTCAATGGAAGGTTTTTCATGAAAGTGTATTGTGTTTGAAAATATATAGATTTGAGACAAAATACCAGCAATAATGACATCTCCTGATTGATAGTATTTATGAAGAATTGGAACAGGATCACCAACAATGCAATTCATGTTAGGAATCTCTGAAACTGCCCTAAATGACAGCATTAAGAGAAACACAAAAAGCTTCATTAATTTGCATGATAGAATTCCGTGGTTGCAGTCTTTCATTTGCCTTTTTTTTTCTTGTAATAGATTATTAGCTGAATAGCACAGTCTAACTTGAATGACCACTTGCTTGGGTTACAGCACCAACCAAGAGCATTAAGAACACCATCAAATATATTCTGCTTCTTTACCTTATAGAGCAAATAATGACAAGGTGCTTGTGTCTTGGGTTTTAGTTTTGCTGGTGATTAACAAAACTTCTTTGAGACATGGAGATGAAAGGAAGATAATTGGGGTTAATTTGATAATTGCCTGAAAAATAACTACCTGTTCAGGATTATAGGTTCTATGACATGTCACAGTAATATATATAATATCTTTCATCAAAGGCCATCTTCATCCATGTTTCTTGGATTAGCAAAAATCCCCCCAAAATGTATTTCCTATTTATTTAGAAATAAATAACGGTGGCTAGAATTGGGTATGTCTAGTTTAACGAAGAGAAGGACAAGGGGGGACATGATAGCAATATTCCAATATCTCAGGGGCTGCCATAAAGAAGAGGGAATCAACCTATTTTCCAAAGCACCTGAAGGCAGGACAAGATGCAACGGGTGGAAACTAAGCAAGGAGAGAAGCAACCTAGAACTAAGGAGAAACTTCCTGACAGTGAGAACAATTAATCAGTGGAACAGCCTGCCTCCAGAAGCAGTAAATGCTCCAACACTGGAAGTTTTTAAAAAGAGCCTGGATAGCCATTTGTCCAAAATGGTGTAGGGTTTCCTGCCTGAGCAGGGGGTTGGACTAGATGACCTCCAAGGTCCCTTCCAACTTTACTACTATTACTATTACTAAATAATCAAAAATACAAGTATTTCTTAGTGTTCCATATCAAAGTTAGGGGTTTTTCATTTTCTAGTTTCGTTGGAATGAAACTAGAACCTCTCATCAGCTAAAGCTGACAGAAATGAAACGTTAACACTAGCTAAGACACACCATTCTAGGCTTGGAGACTTTTATCCGCCTCTGAACTGGCAAGCTGCCAATTGTGCC